CTTATACAGAATGATAATTAAGTTCATTAAAAAACTTTTTTCATTAAAAAAAAACATTTTTTAATAGATGTTTTGACTAWTTTTTTTTGTAAGTAAACACGCCGATTTATCTTAGACGACTTTTATAATCCGACTTGTATAATCTGAGTCTACCTGTGTTCATCCAATTCCTTGCGTTAATTCAACTTCAGTCACCTTAAAATTTTTCTCTTTTTTTATTTATACAGAACGATTCGGCTAAGATGAACATACACATATTAAGCTCACTGAAAAGCTTTTTTTTCACTAAAAAACATATTTATTTATCGTTTTACTTTATTTTTTCTAGTATACACGTTGATTCGTCTTAGATGTTTTAATCCGACATGTCAGACGAGTCACCCTGTATTACAAAAAAATTAAAATCGTTTGTTTTTAACGATTTTTTTTCAACTTTTCTTTAATTTACACACAGTTTCAGCTGAATCACTCTGTATTTATCAAAAAAAATTAATTTTGCTTTAGAAATAGTGTTTTTTTCCAGTCCGCCTCTGCTCTAGCGTGGGCACCGGATACGTCCCATCAGATTTTTTCATCGTCGGCGATTTTCCAAACCTCGGACACAATCCAATAATCCCCCCATGTTTTAATTGGAGTCCGATGTCCGATATGTCAACTAAATCCAGTCACGGTCGTCAGATTAGAGCCGTTATAATAATTATCAGTCTCTCCAATCGTGTCAACTAATTGATGTTTCAATAAAAAATTATTCCATTTTGTCGTCGTAATTTACGTAAAAACTTAACAATAAATATTTAAAAATCACTGAAAATCACTCGGGGGTGTTGCTGTCCTCCGTGTGGTTGCCGCTGGAGTCGTCGGCGGAGTCCCCGGGGGCGGTTTTCTGCGCCGTTCGGCACTTGGGGCACAGGTCGGGGGCGCCGCTGCAGATGTAGGTCTTGCCGCACCTGGTGCACTCCTCCTGGGGGTCGCCTGACAACAAACAACAAAACATACAGGGTGTTCCGTTTTTATTGTTACAAATTCAAACAGGTTTTTTGAAAATGCAAGTTGACTTCAAATCTGTGAAATTTAACATTTTTGAATTTTTGTACAAACAGCAACATTTTCCAAAATTCAGTCTTCATAATTTTTTTTTGTTTTTTGTCCTCTTAAAAAGACGGGAAATTCAAAAAAAAGTTTCAAGTGTTACATTTTTGACTTTTACAGTCAAATTTTAGTTATTTTGGTCAAAATTATTTTCTTTTTTAATTTGAATCACATCGAATATGTCGATGTGATGTCTTTGTAAAATTACTCAAACTTTACTAATTTGGCAAAAATAACGTTGGCAAGCTTGACTTAAAAAAAAWWWWAAWWAAKRWAAWTRRMMTRKAAAAWTRKKRTTTTTTTTAAACTCAATCATTAAAAAATCAAATGTATCGTTTTATTTCCAAAATTATAATTTTAAAACACAAATTCTGACTTCAAATCTGTAAATTTCGAAATTTTATACTAAAATTGTGACAATTTTTTTAAAAATTGAAGCCTTGAAGACATCAAATTTCGTGTTTCGTTTTCAGAATTCTAACTTTAAAATTTGAAATTCTGACTTGAACTCTGAATTCTGACATTCTGTACTGAAATTCTGACAATTTTTTCAAATTTAGTTTTAAAAGAATGAAATGTGTTTCATTTTCTGAATTGTATTTTAAAACTCAAAATTGTGAGATCAAGTCTGTGAATTTTGATGTTTTCTCGCAAAACTCAGTTTTTTTTTTAATTCAGGCTTCAAAAACATCAAATGTAATATTTAATTTTTGAAATTCTGGCTACAAATCTGTGAATTCTCGCATTAACATTCTGACAATTTTTTTCATAATTCAGTCTT